TCGCCCCCCACCCCAGCCCCACACAAATACCTGCAGAATGTCAAATGAGTTTTATGTGTCAGCTAAATTAAAGTATGTGAAATACAGTCCGTGGGCAGACAAAGCGTTCTGTCTTCTGGCACTCGGGACACTTCAGAGTAATTTATTATAGGTCATTCATAAATGAAATGCACCATTATATCTTCCTGTTGCTCCATTTTAGTGTGGAGATCTAAGTTATGGCTGTGAAGAAATCTTTTTAATAGATAAAAATAGAGAAAGAAAATAATGTCACTGCTGCCGAGGAGGCGAAGCCGGTTGTGTTTGCTTGGGCTTGTGTGGTAGGGCGACCTCTGGTGGGAAGCAGGGGGTAATGCCGCTAAGCAAACTTTGCCTTCTGGGAGGTTTCTGGAAGGCTCTGGTGCCGGCCTTTTGCGGGGGGCAGTTCTGGCGAGGGAAAGGAAGGGTAAGGAGCTGATGTGGAAGAGACCTGTGAGGGCTAGGCCTGGCTCTGCCCTTGAGGGTAGATATCATGCTGGGCTGGTGATGAGAGAGGCCAAGGAGAGCCATGATAGTACAAGGCCTCCTTTAAGGAGGTAAGGACCTATCCAGCCTGGGATGCTGTGGATTCTGTAGTGGGAATGGAGTCAGTGTACCTCTCCTGAGATGACAGGCACCTAAGTTCCTTCATTGTTGGTGTTATGGGTTACCAGGCGTTAGAACACCAGCTGGCTGGGGTGGGGAGTTTCCGCAGATCAAAAGAATCATTATCACTAGCTGTTCTTTGTTTTTGATTCAGAGTCTCATCCTGTCACCCAGGCTGGAGTGCAGTGGCACGCTCACGGCTTCCCCAGCATCAACCCGCTGGGCTCTGGTGATCCTTCCGCCTCACCCTTCCAAGTAGCCAGAACTACAGGCTTGCGGTACCACATCCGACCAATTTTTTGATATGTTGTAGAGACGAGGTCTCACCATGTTGCCCAGGCAGTCCTCTCGCCTTGGCCTCCCAAAGTGCTAGGATTACAGACTTGAGCCTCCACACCCGGCCCGCTAGCTGTTCTTTACCGAGCTCTCCTAGGGATCAGGCACAGCGCTGGGCTTCTTCCACGTTAGCTTCTTACCCCTCCTTTCCCTGCATTATTTTTCATTCCTGTGAAGCCTTGTGAGAAGGGTGTGGTTCTTCCATCTATCTAGATGTGAAAAGAGGTGAGGTATTAGGCCCACAGCCACATGATTACCAAGATGCTAGGTCCCAGATTCAGTCTCAACTGTGGTTGTATCCAAAGCTCAATACACTCTGCTGTGTTGCTCAAAGTCCGATGGCCTTGTTTTTATTTTATTTATTTTTCCACTTATTTATTTATTTGGAATCAGAGTCTCATTCTGTCTCCTAGGCCGAAGTGCAGTAGCGTGACCACTGCTCACCACAGCTTCGACTTCCTGGGGTCAGGCATCCTTCTTTCTCAGCCTCCTGAATAGCTGGGACTACAGGCTACTTGCCTGGCTAAAATTTTTGTTTTAGAGACAAAGTCTTGCTGTGTTGTCCAGGTTAACTCCTGGGCTCAAGCGGTCCTCCTGCCTCTGCCTCCCAAAGTGCTGGGAGTACAGACATAGACTACCATGCCTGACTGGCCTTGTTTTATTTGTAGAACATTAGCGATCTGGAGTAGTTAAATCACGTGTTCACATTCACACAATAAGTTAGAAATAGAAAAGGGACCAGGGTACTTCCCTCTAGAACATAAAATAAAAGCAGATGTACATGTTAAGGTTAACACATGGAGGCTGAGGCAGGAGGATCGCTTGAGGCCAGAAGTTTGAGTTCAGCCTGGGCAACATGGCAAGACCCCATTGATAGATAATAATAATATTAATACTTATAATAATAATTTAAAAAAGTATTTATTAGCCACTGGTTATGCGTCACACCATAAGTTAATGTTTTGTTATATAAAATATTGTCTTAGGCGGGTCTTGCTGCTATAACATAGCAGCACAGACATGATTGCTTAAACAAGACATTTACTTCTCACAGTCTAGAGGCTGGAGGTCTGAGATCAGGATATCAGAAATGTTGGGTTCTTGGTGATGATACTTTCTGCTGTAACACATGAAAGAGAGAATAGAAACAAGCTCTCTCACATCTCTTCTTATAAGGGCACTAATCTCATCATGAGGGATCTACCCTCATGATCTCATTACCTCATCTGCACAGCCATTATATTGGGGATTAGGATTTAATCATATGAATTTGGGGGAGACACAAATTTCAGTCCATAATAAATATGCTCCTTGTGGCCATTATTTTTATTTTTATTTTTATTTTTTGAGTTGGAGTCTCACTCTGTCACCCAGACTGGAGTGCAGTGGCCGCTCCCGGCCACCGCAGCCTCGACCTGCTGGGCTCCGGCGATCCTTCTGCCTCAGCCTTCCGAGTACCCGGAATTACAGGCAAGCGCTACCATGCCTGGCTGATTTTTTTATTTATTGTAGAGATGAGGTCTTGCTGCCCAGGCGGGTCTCGAACCCGCGGGCTCAGGCAATCCACTCACCTCAGCCTCCCAAAGGCGCGGGATTACAGGCTGAGCCACCGAGCCCGGCTTTCCATTATTAATTGGTACTCTAATAAAAGTGGAAGAGGAAGGTCTACCAGTAAATTAACAGTTTTTGTCATAATAAAATTCTGGTGCATTTTCCTTTCCTCTACTGTTTGGTCAACAAAGTTTCCAAGTCATTGTTTGAAAAATTATCGTAGTTAATGTGTTTTATGTTTTCCTTGACTATCTTAAGTGCTCAGTTGGACAGTATTCCCAAATCAATCTAGGACAGAAGGATTATTAGTCCAGAATTTAGATAATGTGGTTGTTCGTGTCCTATGCCCCAGGTCTCCATAGACTATTAGAGTCCATGAATGTGGGTTCACGGTTCAACTTAATCATGTTGAGGTACATGGCCTTGGACAAGTTGTCCTTTATGATCTTTTGTTTTTTATTTTTAAAGAAATAAGTTGGACTGGATGATAGTCTTATTTTCAGTATTATTATAACCAGAGATTAGTGGACTACTTGGCTCCATAGTACTGAGAGATTTTCTTTGTCTTGGGTTAAGTCCTTACCTTGTTCTAAGCCTCAGCTTCTTAAATCTGTAGCAGTAATACTGAGGGGGTCAAGATAATGACCTGGTATGGATTTAAGCTGAAGGCACTGTGTGGCTTTAAACCTGACGGGTGATGTCACTGTGCTGTTCCAGTGCACTTAATTATCGGTAAATACAAAAAGAACTGTTTCAGGATATACACTATGACTTCTTTCCTTTTTCTCCTCTGGTCTACTAATATGATAGTTAAGATCAGCTTCTCCATCTGCTTCTCAGAAGTCACAGATGAAAGGTAGGTAAAATCAGGCAATAACAGTACAGACTCCACCTTTTCAGCCAACTGACTCTTCTACATAATTGTGAAAATATTTCAGGCTTTCCAAATATTTCTAGGCTCTGTATTACTATTTCTATCCTTAAAATGCCCTAGATGCTAATTGTAACAGTATTTTTTGCATAATAATCCACCCCAAAACTTAGTGGCTTAAAACAACAAATATTCTATTTACAATTCTGTGGATCAGCTGTTTGACCAGGGCTCAGCTGGCTGGTTCTTCTGCTCGACTCACCCTGGGTCACCCATGCAGCCATAGTTATCTGGTGGTACAACTGGTGCTGGATGGTCTAAAATTGCCTCAGATATATGTGTGGAGGTTGGTACCAGGTTTTGTCTAGACTAAATGTCTCTAACAGGCTAGCATAAGCCATTTCACATGGGGGGAGTATTTAAGAGCAGAAGCTCCATTGTGCAAGTACTTCTTAAGTTTACTAATATCACATGTCCCATGAACAAAGGAAGTCATGTACCAACTGCTGAAAAAGTATGGTAGGAGACCGCACAAAGTGTGGGTGTAAAAAGGCATAGGTCATTCCTATAACACTCTGTCCCATCTGTCTTGGCATCTTGTCTCCTTAAAATTTTAAAGGGAGCTCTAGAAACAAGTAACTATTAACTTCCTAAAAAGGTAATAGCTTTTTTAAATAAATTGAATCTTTATATGTTATTAGGAAACTTGCTTCCAAATGGGATTTTAGCTCAAATTATTTTGTGAGCTTTGTTTTATTTTTATTTTTTGCCTTTTGGCACATGTAGAATGATTATTCACCCTAATTTATCTGCCATATAGATACAGATATTTCCACTTTGGTTTGACTCTCAGTTAAATATGTCCATGACAGTCCTCTGTGTTACTAGACCATGGGAACTCAGGTCATTCGTTTATTTTATCCTTTAGCAAAAGGAACTATCACGTCGTGATTAAGAACAACAGGCTCTGAAGCCAGATTTCCTGAGCCTGCCACCTTACTACATGACCTTGGGCAATTTATGTGACATCCCTGTGCTTTGGTTTCCTTTGTCACATGGGGACCATGATAGTACCAAGCCCATAAGTTGTTTTGAGGAATATTCCAAGTATATCTCACAAATAGTCAGTTCTAGTAACATAGTAAGTGCTATGTAAGCGTTAGTTATTATTGTCATTATTATTATCCTAGAAAATTGTATAAGCTCAGGCAGTCTGACTTGGGCCACATTATAACCAAGGCCAGAGTATAAAGTTAGAGTGCTTTTTTGAGTTGCATGATTTACTACCCTAATGTCATTCTGTGAGTATTGGGTACTTTTGGTGAATAATTATGCTTAATTTTATGGAAAAACCGGGAGAGTCTGAGCTTTTAAAATCATACAGATTGTCAGTGGTGGAAATCAGTCTAGAACCCAGGTGTGCCGATTCCCAACCTCAGAGTCCAAAACCTAAAGGAGAGGCAATCAGGGTGCAAGGAGAGGAATTAAGAATGGGGAGAAGTCAATGACCTATGCCCACCATTGCAAGGCTCTGC